ACTTTCCTGTGCCAGTAGTTGATTTTCCACATGCATGATCACTTTGCTTCATACTGGCCACACACTGTTACAGAGACATAAATTCTTGCCTAAGAATGGCATGTCTGTTTCGTACCCCAACTTCTAAATGAAAACACTGCTGGAGAATTATGGAATACCAGAGATCTTTATTCTGCGTGAGGGCACAGGAGTGATACACCAGCTCTCTTTCTTTAGCTCTTTCCAACATGACAGTAATTCTAGAAACACAAAGATACTTACCTGGATTGAGTGAATAAATTTGTAGGTAACTAGAAAAGAATTGGGAAAAGTTATTCTCATGCACTTTAGAACGCTATGTCTTCTCTGAATTTTTTTTTTCTTACAAAACTGGTTGCATTGTATATTGGTTTAACCCAAAATAATACAGACAAATTCATAGAAGTCATTGTCCAGTGGTTTGTTGGTGTATGTTCAGGAAGACAGGACTTCTCCCTGCTGCCGCCATCTGCTCCAACCAACACAACTTTTCAGATGCAAGTGACTCAGCTCATGTCTTTTACACCTTCCCATTCCTTCTGAAAAGACATTAACTTCCATTACATGCTAACTGCCAGCTGAAGTTGTTGCTGAATGAACCATCACAAACCACTTCTGTGAGAAAATGAGTGGATTGTCTAAGACTGCTGTAATGTTACAATGCTGTAATTCCCAGTCAGTGGTGGTTTTGGACTGTCAAATTGCACATCAAAAATGAACTGGCAGCTTTGCAGTAGCTAAATCAATGAAAATGTAAATAGCCATTTTTTTAGTGTTTTGCAGATGAATTTATATACTTGAATTTGAATGAACTTAAGTATGATGAATGTTGGTTCCTCCCTCCCCCCCTTTACTTATTTATTTTGATCGTGAAACTGTAAGCAGGTATGTGAAGTGAGGAAGCCCTGCTATATCAAAGCCCTGCTGTATAAAATGGCCTGGAATTCCTGAAATCCCGTATTATGAGCTTGTCAGCCCTGAGTTTGTGCAAAGCTTCTATTACAGAGCCTTTGAAAGAAATTCTAAATGACAAAAAAGCAGTAACGTAAAACTATTTTTATTGAAAATACATCTACAAAGTAATGTTTCTCAATCCACTCTGGGTGCATGCCAATGCAGAACCAGCGAGGGATGGGAAAAGGAATCTTTCTATAATACCTGATTTCCATAAGAAACAAAGTTAGTATAAAAAAAGATCACATTCTTTGTGACACAATTCATTTTTCTCAGCTGATGTCATAGAAAGACAGCCATTTACATTGTCTTTGCAATGTATTTCCAAACAAAATCTTAACAAAAATTAAATTGTTATGCCATAAATTCTACAGTTAATGTTTATACACACATTCTGAATACAGTATCTATATAAAAATATCTCTAATTACATATCAGAAAATGCCTGTCTGTATCCTAGATTTGCATTCTGTTAGCAAAAAAAGATCCCCCATATTTGTTTTCTTTCAGTAAAAGATTCATTTAGAGCTTTGTTGGTTTGACTGCTCAATACTCTATATTAAACCCTGCTCACTTCATTCACTAGAGAATTCCTGCTTGTATTGTCTGGGTTACTCAAGTGGAGAAGATGGGCAGGAGTTTTCAGTCCTAAAAAAAAAAACCTTGCCTGGGAAAAAAAATCGCCTTCAACCAGCACGCTGACATTTTAACTACAGTTACTTGTACACCATATTTATGTTCTTTTAGTGACAGAAGTAACATATTAAATGTTTTTTTGAGTGGCAACTGGGACATGGTAAGGGAATCCTTCATTTCCGTCATCAAAATTTTTTTGGTAGGGGGAAGGAGAAAGAAGACAACTGAACGTTTTAATACAAAAGATCACTCAACACGGTTGTGCCTCTCCATTGATATTTTTTCACTCCCCCAACTGTAACTACATTATAAAACTTTCCAGTTTAACCTCAATAATAATATAAGGCAAAAAGGAAAAAAATATGTTATTTGTATTTCCAGAAATGGGCTTCATCAGAGAATAATCTTGAAATGAACAAAAAAAGCCTCAGGATTATACGGGCATTATCTCCCTTTTTTCATTCTTTCCTTATCTATTCCCTGAAAGAAAGCTACCATATTGAGCTTTAAAATCCTTTCAAATTAAAATGCCAACATTTATTATAGTATTTACTATTTTGCAATTTGTATATTTTTCCTAGTAAAAAGTAAAAAAGCACCCATTAGTTTTACTTTCTAAAGGGTTGTTTTTTCTTTCTGAGATGCTACTGATAAGCAACACAAGGATTTTGAAATTTCACATTGAGATAGGGAGCCTTCTTTTCCAGATGGAAAAATGTAAATCCAGCTAATAGCTCTGTAATTTATCAGTGGGGTTGCCAAGCATTTGGGAGGTTTGTGATCAGGAAACCTCCTGTTGGCCTCAGGGGCGCATGTTTAGAACCCTGTCCCTTTGGGATCTGAGCATCTCGCCCTTCTGCACCTTCTGCAGAAGGCTGGCAGTACCTTCTATTCTTATTAAGTAGATCATTGGTGTACCCAGAGCATGCTATGTTTTTTTTTTCCAAGCAGAGATGAAGACACATTTTCTGTCCCAGAGTCAATACAGCCTATGGCCTTGCTCCTGCAAACACTTACACACGTAGATTGTTCAACTGAGTGATGATGTTGAAATTAAAGGGATAAATCCAGACTGGAGGTACATCCATACATATGTAAATGTTTGCAAGTCAGTGGGAGCTGCCTAGACTAAGTTATTGTCAAGATCAGCTGAGGCTAATGGCAAAACCTGTGTCTAGATAAAATACCTTTCTCAGAAATATTTCAACTCAGCTGACAGAAGTGCTGATTTTGGGTATTTTTTTTTTTCTTTATTTCTATATCTTCCCCTTTTTATCCTTTCAATTAAAGTCCTTCTTTTTATTGTCCTGCTGGTATTTGAAGAACAATATAACACTGGAGAAAAAAAAATCAGATAAAAAAGCAAAAATCCTGTTAATTTACTTATCTGGATGCAGTTACCAAATTAGAAGTATTGATTGTGGGTTTATAATGTTAGGAATTGTGCAACAGGTATTTAAAAAAAATAATCAATTTTTGGGCTCTCTTATCTGTTTTTACTTTCCAGTTCATAAAAAAAAAAAAAGTTTACAGGACTGAGTAACATGTACACTGATTTTTGTTTTTATTTAATTGACAATCTCTCTTTTTTTTATCCTCAGTTAGCACATGTCTAGCAGGACCAGTGTTGTTGTCTGTTAATTTTTTTTAAGTGGGAAGCCAACATTTACCATGATCACTGCTAATTTGGAATATATTTTCATTAATTCTTTCCAGTGCTAGCATAAAGGGAGAAAATAAAGAATAAGTGAACTTGGTGAATTCAAGATATAAATGGCTGGAAAAAGTGTGTTTTTTCCACACTTGCAGTGTCAGACTCGTACTTTCTTTACCCTACATCTTGGTTTCACTATCTAATGGTTTCTCACTCTCATTTTCTTGTGAGATCAGCTGGTACGGTTTCTTCATTTCATTCTCCTCTATCACAGAATTACCCATTTCAGCATCCCTGTTCTTTAGCTCGTGCCGTGATAAATGTTCAACAATTCCAGCTCCGATGGAGTCTCCCAAGACATTGGTAGTGGTACGGAGACGATCCCTAGGGAGAAATACTAAGTTAGCCTTTATTTCACCGCTTGTTCAGAGAACCATGCAGACTAGCTGTTAAAATGGCCTTTAAATAGCTACTAGATGATTCAGTGATTTTATGTATATTCGTTTATCTGAACTGTTGATGTCATGATTTTTTCTAGAGAAATTAACAAATATACTATGATTTGGAGTTACAAAATATGTTAATACTTTTTGGCAATTTCGTAGCAAGAAACAGCTGTGTGATGACGACGACAAAGGGAGCATATGGCAGATGCTTCTTGGAGGCATTTCTATACCCTGGTGGTTTGGGTTTATACCCTCTGAGCATGTAAGCCAATGAGAATCTACCTTGTTAGGGTCATTTCCCTCCTGACCATAAAGGGTGGTCAAGTAATTTAGGGTGGAATTCTGCTGAAATAATTCAAATCCAAACTACACAATTCAGCCCTCTTAAAGGGCTCTGCCCAGCAGATGTAGGACACATCTTGACAAGGAGTGACTGGCACTGTTACTCAATAGGTGTCCACCTACATAAGGCTGTGGGCATGTGGCTAGTGGTTAGATTATAATTTGAAGACATAATGTTCTGATAACAATGCAGGAAAGTTCTTTCAGGGATCACTTGAGAAGACTGAAGGGTAAAAGCTTCTGGAAACTATAACTAATAGGGGTTAGACAAAATAGAGTTGAAGGAAACCTTCTGCCTTTGATTTAGTTCCTGGACTTAAGGGATATCCCCATATTCTTAGAGGTGTCAGTGTTCTACAGACAGAGTTATGGAAAAACTGAGGGGCAATGCGTTGTGGTGGCTGGATAAGAGGGTTACACAACTGTTTTTTCATTTCTGTGTCCATGGGGTAGACATATGAACCTTTCCTAGTTTAGATAGTCAGCAGGGCTGCAATGAACTGGGTCAGATCTGAATCAGCTCAGCTTGATTGATGGAAAGGTTTTCATTGCCATCCTACAAAAAATAGAAGACTAAAGCAATTCTTAGCTAATTTAATTACAGCATGCCTGAAAGGTTTCTTAGTACCTTAAGGATCTCGGTTTCTAAGTAACCTTTTTGCACGTAAGAGGAACCATCATTAAGTAACACCCCTCTGGGGAGAGAAATTAATCACAAGAAATTACGATTCTTTTTAACACTTCTTTCCAACTGCCTTACACAGCAAAAGAAGTACACCCCTGACTGCAGTATTGCTATTTTTTTTTTTCTTTATTTCTATATCTTCCCCTTTTTATCCTTTCAATTAAAGTCCTTCTTTTTATTGTCCTGCTGGTATTTGAAGAACAATATAACACTGGAGAAAAAAAAATCAGATAAAAAAGCAAAAATCCTGTTAATTTACTTATCTGGATGCAGTTACCAAATTAGAAGTATTGATTGTGGGTTTATAATGTTAGGAATTGTGCAACAGGTATTTAAAAAAAATAATCAATTTTTGGGCTCTCTTATCTGTTTTTACTTTCCAGTTCATAAAAAAAAAAAAAGTTTACAGGACTGAGTAACATGTACACTGATTTTTGTTTTTATTTAATTGACAATCTCTCTTTTTTTTATCCTCAGTTAGCACATGTCTAGCAGGACCAGTGTTGTTGTCTGTTAATTTTTTTTAAGTGGGAAGCCAACATTTACCATGATCACTGCTAATTTGGAATATATTTTCATTAATTCTTTCCAGTGCTAGCATAAAGGGAGAAAATAAAGAATAAGTGAACTTGGTGAATTCAAGATATAAATGGCTGGAAAAAGTGTGTGTTTTCCACACTTGCAGTGTCAGACTCGTACTTTCTTTACCCTACATCTTGGTTTCACTATCTAATGGTTTCTCACTCTCATTTTCTTGTGAGATCAGCTGGTACGGTTTCTTCATTTCATTCTCCTCTATCACAGAATTACCCATTTCAGCATCCCTGTTCTTTAGCTCGTGCCGTGATAAATGTTCAACAATTCCAGCTCCGATGGAGTCTCCCAAGACATTGGTAGTGGTACGGAGACGATCCCTAGGGAGAAATACTAAGTTAGCCTTTATTTCACCGCTTGTTCAGAGAACCATGCAGACTAGCTGTTAAAATGGCCTTTAAATAGCTACTAGATGATTCAGTGATTTTATGTATATTCGTTTATCTGAACTGTTGATGTCATGATTTTTTCTAGAGAAATTAACAAATATACTATGATTTGGAGTTACAAAATATGTTAATACTTTTTGGCAATTTCGTAGCAAGAAACAGCTGTGTGATGACGACGACAAAGGGAGCATATGGCAGATGCTTCTTGGAGGCATTTCTATACCCTGGTGGTTTGGGTTTATACCCTCTGAGCATGTAAGCCAATGAGAATCTACCTTGTTAGGGTCATTTCCCTCCTGACCATAAAGGGTGGTCAAGTAATTTAGGGTGGAATTCTGCTGAAATAATTCAAATCCAAACTACACAATTCAGCCCTCTTAAAGGGCTCTGCCCAGCAGATGTAGGACACATCTTGACAAGGAGTGACTGGCACTGTTACTCAATAGGTGTCCACCTACATAAGGCTGTGGGCATGTGGCTAGTGGTTAGATTATAATTTGAAGACATAATGTTCTGATAACAATGCAGGAAAGTTCTTTCAGGGATCACTTGAGAAGACTGAAGGGTAAAAGCTTCTGGAAACTATAACTAATAGGGGTTAGACAAAATAGAGTTGAAGGAAACCTTCTGCCTTTGATTTAGTTCCTGGACTTAAGGGATATCCCCATATTCTTAGAGGTGTCAGTGTTCTACAGACAGAGTTATGGAAAAACTGAGGGGCAATGCGTTGTGGTGGCTGGATAAGAGGGTTACACAACTGTTTTTTCATTTCTGTGTCCATGGGGTAGACATATGAACCTTTCCTAGTTTAGATAGTCAGCAGGGCTGCAATGAACTGGGTCAGATCTGAATCAGCTCAGCTTGATTGATGGAAAGGTTTTCATTGCCATCCTACAAAAAATAGAAGACTAAAGCAATTCTTAGCTAATTTAATTACAGCATGCCTGAAAGGTTTCTTAGTACCTTAAGGATCTCGGTTTCTAAGTAACCTTTTTGCACGTAAGAGGAACCATCATTAAGTAACACCCCTCTGGGGAGAGAAATTAATCACAAGAAATTACGATTCTTTTTAACACTTCTTTCCAACTGCCTTACACAGCAAAAGAAGTACACCCCTGACTGCAGTATTGCCAGGATGTCCCTGCATATTACACTTCTAAATATCTTCTAAGCCCTTAGTGAATCCATAAAGATACTTACAGGAACCAGTCCACTGCAATGATAAGAGTGATATCATCTGTAGGCAAACCTACTGATGTAAGCACAATGACCATGGTGACCAGTCCAGCTTGAGGAATCCCTGCAGCCCCAATACTGGCAGCTGTAGCTGTGATGCTGTGCAAAGAGATGGCAAAGAGCAATTAATTGACTGCCACAGTAAACTCTCCTTATTATCTGGCAAGCATTAAAAACAGATATGAAGCAAGAAGGCATTTGTTCAGTAATAAGTAAAAAGATGAGCCTAGACCCCTATCTGGATACTGCATAGCTGCAGGGAAGTGTGGATCTTAATCCAAAATATTTACACTAAACCTTTATCCAGAACTCTCAAAATGGGATGCTGTTAGGAGGTAAATCCTCTACTAGATGCTAAGGTCCAGACAAAACCATTACAACCTCCACCCACTGAACAAACTTGCTCCACAAGCTCAAACACATTATAATAAAAGCTGAGGAGGTAATTTTGTCCTGGCAGACCTAGTGCAAGAATTTCTATTCTCCGTCCATCTCACTATAACTTTGTGCCAGGTGAAGTATCTCCTCCAGCAGTTGGCATTCTGCCATCAGAACGCAGAAGATTGCCAGAAACCTTGAATCATGCAGTCTAGTAATGATATAAATATGCTTGTTCACACCTGGTTTAGGAATAATTTGTTTTGTCAGGTGATGTGGCAGGGAGCAGCTCCAGTACTAGTGAATGTGGAACTACTGCCTCTGAGTGTGAATGCAGAGTTTTGCCTTCTGTTGATGAATATTGAATTAAGCTGGTGGTTTTTATGGAGAGAAGGACTTCTGGTTGAAAATGTTTTATATTCCTAGTTCACCCTATCTGAACTTCTAGTGTTTCTGAGTGTTAGATGTATGTCTCTCTGTCCTACAGTGTCCCTCTCTCCCCTTGCTGACATTTCTTTCTTCTGTACATGTACCCATGACCCTTTTCTCTTAAAACTGTTTGAGTAACATAATGAAATTAATGCAGATCAGTTATCATTGAGTGCTATTTAGTGGGTTGTTTGCTGTTCTGTTTCAAACATGAAGGCTTGTGTGCTTGAAAATATACCTGTCTTCTCCACCTCTATCAGCTGGTGTAATAAAAGGTATTACTGCTCCCTTCACAGCTTGCTCTACTTGTATCCTGAGACCATCAGGACTAGGAAAACACTACCTCTCCCAGCATTAGCACTGTGTCGCTTTTATGCTACTGCTTTGTACATGCATTATAAAGTACCCGGTACCGATTGTAAGTCTATAGCTCCCAACAGCGACATGAGTTCTTAAGAAAGAAAATTTAAAAGCCATTAAAAACTGATGGTGTTGACTCTACTAAGTGCAGTGATAAGTGTGTCATGCTACAGTTTTTTAAAGGTTTGACATTGTGTGCTGGGGGGCCCCTTCTGTGCAGAAGATGTAAATCATTACAGTTATTCAGCTACTGTAGCAGTTCCTGTTTTTAGCTCTAGATGCTTTTGTGTAATCCCACACATAACAGCCAGAACGAGTCATCCCAAAGGTACTTTTATTAGGTGTAGGTAATAATGGCTTCTGTACCTGATTGTGATAATCTGCCCAAAGTTCAGATCAAAGTTGTTAACCTGTGCAATGAAAATTGCAGCCAAAGCCTCGTATAAAGCAGTTCCGTCCATATTAATTGTAGCACCAACTGGGAGTACAAATCTTGTAACTCGTTTGTCCACTCCATTTATTTCTTCTAGACACTTAAATGTAACAGGTAGTGTTGCAGAACTGAAACAAACAAACAAAAAAGACAGCGATATATGGTATAAATTCTATAAAATGGGAATGAGAAGACTGTCATGCATAGTGATGACAAGAGAGATTGTTCTGTCTTAATTTTTTTATGTTATGTACCAGAATATTTTCTTAAAAATGTGAAGGTTGAATTTAAGCACTTCTAATGATGGAGGTTCTCCTAATACTCTTGGGAAGTTTTTGCACTGGTTAATTACTGTCACTGTCTATGTAGTCCCTAGTCTGAATGTGTCTAACTTCTGTATTTTGTGACAAGATTCCTGTGCCTATTTAAACATTCCCACTTCTTATTTTTATGTCTTGGAGTTATGATTGAATCATCCCTAAGCATTATTTTCCTGAAGTTATACAAATGAAGCTATTCAAGCCTTCGGTAAACAGCATGTTTTCTCTTATTTATTTGCTGGGTCCCCTGGAAAGGGCATTTTGATGGACGATTACATTACTTTACCACTTGTAGGTTAACACCAGTAGGCAGCTAAGCACCACACAGGCACTCGGTTACTTGCTCCCATA